GATGAACAGACGTTTGGCAAAACACATCGTCAGCCAATCACACTGAAAAAAATATGTACATCAGTTACATGTAATAAAGTCACGTTTAGTCAAACTTTGTTTTCTGTTTTATAACTGCAATAAAACCTGAAGTCTTTACAGTTTTCTCATCTTAATATCACAAAATTTTTCTTTACACTTACATTTATTATGCAGATTATATTTAATTACCTTATGTTAAACCAAGACAATTATAATAATAATTATACTTTCTATTATATCCGTGACACTAATATTTAACATGTTTGTAATACATGTATTTGTCTTTGTAATCTCAAATTAATATGTTTACTTAAACTATAAGAATACAGAAAATACATTTATTATTGGCGGATGTCAGCTTGTCACAGGGAATACCAGAGATGTGTAAAATATGAAAATGATGCATTAGAGGAACAATATTCAGCACATTTCTGTCTTAACACTGAAAATAAGCAGACGTCCAACCTGAAGTGAAGCATGAATGATAAAGTGATTGTATACATGTTTGTGTGAGCTAGCCAATACACGTCACTGCAGACACAGGGAATCTGGGCAAATATGAATTTAAACATCAGACGTTCACAAATAGTTCAGTTGTATTTTTAAACATGAGTTACTTTATTTCAGGAGCCTGTAATATCTAAGGCAGCTCATCATAATGTCAACAAGTAAAATTATTTACAAAGTCAATAAATGTAAAAGTATTTTTGATTTATCTTCATCAAATACTGAAATCTTATGTCAATCAGTCAAGCAGTCTTCAACAGCTTTGAGCTGTGAAGCATCCACAGACACACACATCAATTGTCACGGTCCTGGGCCTTTTGTACTGTGTTATTAGTCTGTTCTCTTCTATTGTTCATGACTACTGGGGTTTTGGTTCCTCTTTTGCATTTCTAGATTTCTTGTTCTTCTGGGTTGTGATTTCTAGCTCTTAGGTTTAGTTATTCTCTTATTCCCTAGTCAGTCATGTCTCGTGTCCCTCCTGTCCCTGTGCTGTGTTCCCTCTGTACTGTGTTAGTATTGTCTCTGAGTTCAGTCTGTGGATTTCCTGTTTTACTTTGAAGGTCTTGTCTCATGTTAGTGTATTCTGATTTACTTCCTTGTCTTGTCTAGCCTAATGAGTCCCAGCTGTGTGCCCACCTGTTCCTCGTTTCCTCATGTGCCTGCAAGTGTATTTTAATCCCTGTCAGTTCTTGTTGTTGTGTCGTTAACGTCGGTTTACCCTCACTTTCACTGCGTGTTCGGTTTGTTAGCCTGCCTGTTTAGTTAGTTTTCTGCTCAGTTGCCTTCCAGCAATAAAGCTGAATGTTTTGAGTTACGTTTGTGTCCGTGAGTGCTGCATTTTAGGTCCTCTCCCTGCACACAGCCATAACATCAATACAAGCTGTTAATGATGTTGTAAACCTTACAATATTAATTATAATTACAAATATTTAGCTTTAAATTATTTTCAAATTTCTATGACAATTGTCAATGTATGAAATACTTAAATAAATCAATATTCCCAAAAAGTAGAGCACCTAAATCACAGAAGTCCCTCTAGAGCAGTGGTCCCCAAACTACGGCCCGCCTCCACATTTGACCCGGCCCCCTGAACAATATTAGAGATGCATCATTATTTTTTCAGTCTGGCCAAGCGATCGACACTAATGCACCCATAGAACACTGGGCCTGCCCGACTGAATCTCTGGAAATGTTTCCTCATGTTAATAAAGCTCATTTGATTTGAATTGTGAACCACGCTAAAAAAAA